CTGCATTATCCGTCCGAGTTACGGATAACTTCTACATCCAAGAAAGGTGACCGGATACCGTCAACGAAGAACTACATTGAATCAGCGACGCCCTCAGGAAAAATGATTATCCTGATAAATTTATCTTGAAGCATTTGAAGGAACGCAATCGGAACCAACCTAGGAGCATTGCTCCTAAGAAAGAGCTTTTCATACGTATACCATTTAAGGGCGATTCTGCAGCCGAAATGTTACCACGACGCATTAAGGGGCGCCTATCTTAGAGGATTTGTGAACACATCGTGGTACGGTTTTACAGAGACCAAATGAGGTGCTCAGACAGCTCAATCATGTCGCACCTCCTTGAATGTGGCCGTAAAGCTTCCGAGATTGATTTCAAAGTCATCTACTCACTACCTGAACACTCCTCTCAAGGATTCCTCAAACAGCTCTTATCCATCACCGAGGTTATCTACATCCACTATCTGAAGATGGAATTATGTGTACAAAAACAATTCCTACGGCCATATTACTACCTTGGCTCCGATGATGAAACGTGGCTCCCATCCGCATGCCTCCCAGTCTTATTCCTTCGGGTTTACACTGGATATGGTGTGTGGTTGGAGCTGTGCGTGGTGCAGCGCAAGCCACCCATGGTCCCTCTGTAGGCACAGGCGTCCTGTGGCTGGCCACAGTGACAAGCAAATCCGAAACCAGATGCCGCCAACCATATATATGGCTTCATACACGGGGATATCAATTTCATCCAACAAATTCTTTACTGAGTTAGTAATAAGGTTTTTATCTCTGCTTACATAGTTGCCGAGAGATTTCGATCGTTATTTTTCATATAAGCAAATGAGGTCGTGTGTATCTACGCACACTCAGGGAACCAAGCAACCAAAAGGTTCCAAAATTAGATGTTAAAAAATATTTTAACGTCTTTTGTGAAATGTTTTGAGACATTTTGTCACTCGTACAACAAATAAATAGGTTGCATCTAGTACACCTGAATGTGCTGCGTCTTTTGCAACCTTCAACCTTGCAGCACTCTCCTAATTCGTTGATCCAACCAGGAAAATCGTCATCTCTATCCTATCTGACTTAGCAATTTGTCCATGCAGATTTTGCACGTTTTTATAGGCTGGGAAGAAACAGTCATTGCAGTTGTTGTTGTTGTTGTTGCTGCTGCTGCTTCCTTGGTTGACACATCATCAGATTCTTTGGCTAGGGTGTGTGTGTTTGTTCTTCCCACTGGTTCTCATATACTTAGTGTGGGTAAGTGTGTTTTTAGTAGTATCAGCACATTCGCTTCTTGGTTAGGGGAGATCCAGGATTTGATTTCTTGGTGTGCCATGTACGATTTCATTCCCATCCATGAAATTGGAATGCACATAAAGTGAAAAATCATTCTTACTGGCTTTTTATTTGTTTTTGCCTTAATTCTGTACAATGCAATTGAAAAATTAAACTTTCCACGCCTCCCATCTTTTCATTGGTCACTTTGACAGGTTTTGACCTGCTACACTTTCCTTTGCAAGCCGCCAGAAATCGAGGTGGCATGTAAGGTGCCATGTGGTTACTAATTATTAGTAAGCAGTGAGGTTCATTATGTTTTCGAGACGATTCATCTCAGGATTTCGGCGCGTGCGCACTACTTACGAATCTCAATAGGGCAAAACGGCCGTCTAAGGCTTTCCTGGATGTGTGGTGGCTGTCTAGCTGCGATAAGTCACCCCTACTAATATTCATCTCTGTGAAACAGATCAAACTTTGTAATTCTTCTTTCAAGTGATACTTTCTGACAAGCTCAGGACAATTGACGCACGAAGACCCACATGTTTTCTATCTGCAAGGACGCATGTTCCTACACCTTGATAAAGTTCAAAGTCGATGGCTCTTCCTGACTTTCCACCTATGACAACCTTTTTTACTCCCACTGGGTTTGCTTTGCTTTAATGAATTATAAATGTTATCAAATGTTTATCAACTGCATCAGAGTAGCTCTGGACAAAGAGCAAGCACTGCTGTGATAACAAAACCCTTTCCAGAATCTATTTTTTCCATAAGGTGAATTTTGCGTTGCATTAATGTGGATTGCAATTCGCATTTGCAAGTGTCGATTCACCATCGTTATATCTGCGACTGCATTGACTCTTGTGACAATTTGCCAATGCACATGCGGGTCCTTGGAAAGCTACCAATGGTCATCACTACTGTGATGCCGAAAAACTTTCGCATTTCAGCAGCCGTTGGCTGAAAACCTTCCCAGTTTCAAACATGTGATAACTATTTATTTCTCTTGCATTTTGTCAAGAATTTCTTGTCAGAAGTTTTGTACGAAGGATTTTGATGATAAAATGAAGCCATCACCTAAGCTGAACTTTTCCTGTCAATTTACGTTTCCTTAATGAACTCCAATTCTACGAGATCGCCATTTGGCGCTAGCTTTCTTTGACTTCAAGCTAGCTATGCCTTCAATTTGCCTGGATTGTTCAGGATTGTCTTCACCTTCATCGATTATATTTTTATAATCGTTCTCACCACAAAGCAAATCTGGTCCGCAAGATAAAGCCCTTCATCCTTACAATCATCACAACAGGATAACTCTAAATTGGATTCATTCAAACCTTACAACAAATCATCCATTACCTGAATTATAATTAAATGAAACGTTGATTAGATGGTCATTCTGAAATATTCGTTGTGCGGTTAGATTGCGACGAACAATTTCACTGTGAACTGTGATTCTCATTGATGCGAATCTTGTAAATTTCATCATTAAGTTCGCAGCTGTAGCGTATGCAAATTGGATGTTGGCTATCCGAAACCACTACATTCTACTACATTAATTTCATAATTTTAACTTCTACAACGGAAGATAATGTGGTAGAACCGTTAACAGTAAATAAAATAATACCTAGGAATAGTACTCTGCAAGAAATGCATCCGTCTTGAACAACTTCAATACACTGCACCTAACTACCATGCTTAGATATCTACTTTTGTACTCTAACGTGTAAACATTTGTGCAAATTATTTACCAGCTGTTCTTCAAAACAATAAAATTACGCAAAGCATTAAGGTGCAGCTTACTAATTATATGTGATAAATATTTTCACCTGAACACAAATTATGCTATCAATGTAGACTAACTAAACTACTTAACACGTAGTATCTTTTTTCCCTGAAAACAGAGTTACTGATTAGATGTGTAGAAATGAAAATATCTTCTTAAAATAGACTATCGTGCCTGTTTGCGCGCAACGTGAATTTAACTTTCTCTGGGTTAATACTAACAGTGAAAAATAATTGTATATGCATGTGTGCATATTTGCACACTGTGTACGAAGATTACATATATACTCAAGAGCAGGAGCTTTTGATGTAATTTATCGAGTGTGCTTTACCGGTCATATGAAGGATTACTTGGTTTGAATGCTCTTGCTGCGGACTCTCAACTCTCCGTACCACCCGTTGACAAAGTGGTGAAACTATTTACTTGAACCGAGGAGACAAAGGTTTGCCACTAACAGTTTGAGTTAGTGAACACTAAGAAATTCAAATATATGAAACACAAACAATTATTCACCCTTGATGTCAATTCGCTGTTTATAAATATCCCCGTTAGGAAGACAATAGATTATCTAGGTGAATAAATTGAGAGCAAAGGAAGCGCGTTTGCTTACCAGTGGAGGACCTAATGTCGTAGCTCTACGAATTCACTCACAATATTCTGTTTTCTTTTGATAGATATTTCTTTAGGCAGAAAGATGGACTAGCAATGACTTCACTGCTGGGTCCCTTGTTCTCCAATCTTTCCTTGGCTAAACTGAATAAGGGCGCATTAAATGGACTAGTTGAACGAATGCCACTTTATAAGCGCTATGTCTACGACATCGTGTGTATGACAGCAGATTCAGAAGACCAGGTGGAATTGTTGCGAAATTTCTACCAAGGGCATAGAAACATTCACTTCAGTATACAGTCAGAACCAGACGAAGATATAGCTTTCCTTGATGTATAGATGTCGCGTCGATCAGACGGAATGTTACTGCGTAACATTGATTTAAAGGCAACCTAGACTACTCAGTACACAACCAAGTTGACGGCTTTTCGCTGCTACACCAGAAACGAAACCTGCTTCGATCTCTTTAAGATACGACTGAACAAGTAAGCGTACTAATGAAGGTCTTATCCCTTAATAGTAACCACCCAGAGCCATTCATCAATAGAAGCATGCTGACTAACCAACGAAGAATTAAAATGCAGACAGTAGAAAGGACAGTGTATCTCTCATTGCCTTTCACAAGTGATAATCACACAACTTAGCAGAAGGCTCAGAAGTACCATCAAGCACACTTATTTCACAGTACATCTATGCCTTTTCTTCGCTCCCATACCCGTGCAGCCTGTACAACGAATATAGATTGTCTGTGTGTATGTGCCAATTTACTTATTCCTTTGGAACAATCTGCAGAGATCGCATCACAAGCCCTACGCGTACGAGAGGATCATCCTGTGCCTTTGGCTCGTGGTATAATCAACTGCCTTGCCACACTACTTTTGTCACACATCTGGAGTAAACTGATCACTCGGTTATCATCTCAAAGCCCTTCCACCCGATCTAAGGCGTGAAGGGAGTCCGCTTCAAACTGATCAAATGCCGCTGATGTCATCGCAATCCGTTCTAACCACACCCCTCTATGTATGCACAAACAATTTATGGAGGCTCTGATTTTGTCCTGGCCGTCTGTCGCACATGCAATATCCGATGCGGAGACCACGATCGCTTGATCAAGTCGAAACATGATTGTCACTTCAACTCTTAACTATAGTTATGCTACATGTTGTGATCTGTGTTATGTTACACCTATGTATGTATTTAATTATCTGTAATATATATATATATATATATATATATATATATATATATATGCAAAACCACACTCATGCATCTCAGTAGATACGTGTGATTATGGCTGATTTGCTTTTCTCCCCCCTTACTCCACTGAGTGCAGGTCCATGGTCTGTTGACAACTACGCGGAGGGTTTGGACATGTCTTTGTTGCGGCGACGTGATCCGATCCTGTTTTATGCCGAGACAACTCTGTTCGAGGATGAGCTCGGTGATAATGGCATCTCCATGCTTAACATCAAGCTGCGAGTGATGGAAACCGGATTTTTCCTGCTACAACGCTTTTTCCTGCGAGTTGATGGCGGTCTCGTACGCACGTTTGACACGCGAATACAATGGCGCAAAGGTGATAAGTACGTTCATGCTTCTTGGGTTTAACTGATGAATAATTCTCTCCCTTCAGGATATTTAGATATTTCACTTGCACTCTGTGATTACCATTTGGATCATTCGCACCATCGCTAGCACATTAACCTCCTACCTGTAATAAATCTGTTGGTGTTTCGAGCACGTTTTGTTCAGATATGTGAGTGTATTTGTCCACGTACTTCTTACCTTTATCTTTGTTACGCGCTACTCACTTTTTCAACCCGAGTTACAGCAACATCATGCATTTTTAGCTAACCTGGCGCACCTGCACTAACAGAAATAAGGAGGCCGATCTTTGATTTTGGATAAGCAACCGTTCATATTCATATCAAGAGTAACTTTTATAAAATTCTTACTCAGCGCAGCTATGCCCTGCGTTTGGTTGCTACTGACAAGCCGATTAGATGAACGTGCTCCACACCGTGTTTGGTTCTTACAGTACTACTTTCACTACCTCATTTCTTGGGATGAGTTCGTGACTTTCATCGCAATCTGATTTCCGGTTAGCACTTTCTGCTTTCCTCTACATGCTTGCGCATATTCGGTATTTACACTTTATCGCCAATCAAGCGTAATTGCATCCTCTGGTGTGAGGTATTTTCGATGCTTGGGGGTTGGGGACAGGATTCAACCTTCTTCTGAACTGCATCCGAAATGCTTAAGGATATTTCTTACTCAGTCTTTCTGAACTGGTCGAATTGATGTACCGTATAAGCAGTTAGTCGCCATCCTTTCACTGTGTGTGATACCCCTCCTGCATTCACTTGTATCTGCCGCACCGTGAAATGCGAACTCACATTCGGAGGTCACAACCGCGCGTGGCAGATCTGGTCATATACCTGTCTTTCGAACTACTACAGCTATTTCTTGGTTTGAGCAATTCACGCAGCTTTACACCTTAGGCACGTTATCACATGAATGGAATCAGCATGAACCTATCAAATGAGCTTTGGCTCCGCACTTTGTGCTGTTAAAAGGTGCCACAAGCTATCTGGGATGATAAATTACGTGCTCTTAGTCAGGGTTGCGAAACTAGGTGCAGACGACGCACTAGTTGCATCTTGACCACCCTGCCTGAAGCTTTAAGAGCCAACTTTTCCAACCACAGAACAGTGTCGAAGAATAAGTTTTCAGTAGCTCCTTATAGCCCAACGCAGGCGTGTTGCTTCTGCTGCTTACCTTCCTCTCCTGGGTGACACCCTCAGCACCATCGGTTTGTGGCCAGCCCTAATATAAGCAAAATCGGGCTAACGTGTGCTTTATTTACCCCACTCATACACCGGAAAGAGCACTCACGACTGCTTGATTAGCCAGTCACATACAGTGTGGTAAAGATCGCATAGCCATCACCAAAGATACTACTACCAAGTTCTTTCATTCAGATAATTCCCCAGGCAGCGCCATAGTGCTATTACTGTTGTGGGTACCAATGCTTCTAGGTCACAAGCAGTGATTGGATGAACGATGTGAATCAGTGGAATTGTGCTGGACCCAGCCGGTTGAAATTGCGAGATGACAGGCTTGGTGGTCTACGTAACAACGATCAACCAGATGGCGTCCGCTCCTGGTGCTTTACAATGGGTCTTCGGTCACAACAGCGGTAAACCTCACATCCCGGTCAGTCAACGTTGGAGACGAAGTTTTAGCTCACTGACTGACTGCGCATTTCACGGATTATTGGCACATAGCCTGGACGATGTCACATTACTGGGCTGTTCTTAATTTGTGCCACTGTTTTTCGTTCATTTGATGTTTCAGCAATGTCTATCCGTGCTATAGTTTTAGGTATGCAGATAGCGTGCGCCATCATTGCTAGAATCGAAGCGTGCTTGTTTATAGAGGATATCCAACCCGCAGGTTTTGTCCAACAAGTCTGATGGCATACGTGAACAGCGCCGCGTGACCTCTGCCGATTGTCTGGTCCGCCTTGTTCTCGTCCAGGTGCGCACATGGTGGGTCACTGGATTTTTTTTCCACTGCGTACCTTCAGCCAAGCCGCTAGAAAATATTTGATATAGAACAATAGTTACCTGCCTACTTCCGTTTGAGCGGGATTATGTAGAAGACTTGATATCGATATACGCCAGTTTTCGAGACACCAGAGGTACCGGTGCTCCTGCGGCTAAAATGCCGGCATTGGAATTGTTATGAATTTTCAACATAATCGTGTGATTTTTGGAAGCACCGTTTCAAGGTCGCTGTTCGCCACTTCCAATTTGGCTTTGGCATTATCCCGGTACCACTGCCTACTCCGTGTCGCTTTATACAAAAATGGGATACAGCCATCTTTCTATCTGCTACTGAGTACCTATTCTTCAGTCTCTGCGTTCTCTGGTATTGCGACCGTGACCAGGGCTTACTGAAATGCTGGATTACGTTCACGAGGGTTTGTCGTCAAGGCTCTTCCGTTAAGCAAACTAGACAGAGCATTAACAGTGGCATCCTGACGTCCAAGGATCCACTGAATTTGGCAGGTACAGGCATTTAAAATGGTAGACCAAGTGACTAGCCTTGGCGAGATCACTTTTTGAATTCCTTTTGTCGTGTTCAGGCGCTTTATGATCGCTGTTGGTCCCCAAATACTGACTGGGCAAGTATTGGCCAAACATGTTCGTACGAAATAAGTAAACACAGATAGGAGAGATATGCGCTACTGATGGCACTTGCTTTCGAAGATATCCATTTTATAGTCATCGGCTGCAATTCTCAGTCCAACGAGAACCCTTGTTTACTTTCTTTTGTGAGTCAGTTGATCCGGAAAATTCCAGACGGTTTCCCCAAAGTTGCATTCCCTCATTTTTCTCCAAGTCATGCAGATCATATCGTCAGCGCTATCTCTGCTTTCCTTCTTATCACGAACGCTCACATTTTGTTCTTATTTGTATCAGTGAACTTGATCGCTTCCATACAAAGTTTTGGGATAAAAATTGAGACAGGGATTTCATTTGACTTGTAACATCTTTCTGCAACACACCACCGGTATTTATCTTCGCGATGAAACTGGATATTGGCATGGTGCGTGGGTCGCTTTCGTCTTCGACCTATTAGGCTATCCCTGCTGATGCCCCCGTGCCCCTCGAGAGCTACTCCTGTCAGATTGCTCAGTTGTTAGCGGTCAAACAAGCTCAGTCCCCTGATTAAACATGAGATGACGCTCATCTCTGTAAAACCGGACTGTTGCCATTTCCCCACTGCCCAACGGCCAGGCTTTTGAGCCAGTCTTTGGTTGATGACCGTATTCGTTCTAAGTTCGAGAGCCCTTAGAATATCTCAGCCCACGTACAATCATCAAACTTCAACCACACCCTTCAATGGCCGTCGCGCAACTTATTAATGGTTACCTTATCTGCTACATTTAGTAGGGCGGATAAGGCAAAACATGCCATTGCTGGCGCCTCCCTTCTGTCCTTTCCACCTGTTTCTTTTACACCCCTCCCAACCCCCACTACTAGCTTTCCTTCTATAATCCTCAGCTTAATTGACAGCAACCTCAATGCTACCGTAGTTCTACCACCTGCTGATATCATCCCGCACCACCCACTGGATGCCAATCAGCAACCACTCCTTATAATGCCACATTGTCCCGTTTCTTTGGTGGCGTTCAACGTTCGCACCCTAAGACAAATAGGTCAACAGGCTGCACTCGCACGCACCTTAGATGCATTGGTTATTGACGTGTGTTGTGTGTCCGAAACTAGTGTTAGTTACTCTGACGCGGTTATTGAATAAACTACACCCTGTTTGTCCTCTCGTTATTCGTCACAAGCGTTCGGCAATCACTGGTCAAGCTGCATTTGGTATCGTTTTCAACTCCAAATCATCGTTGGTTGATTGCATTTATATGAGCAATCGTTTATATGCAACCCGTTTGATGACGTCAAGTAACATTCATTCGCAAACTATCACTGGACGCTGTTTGTGCTTACAGCTTATGTACCCACCACTGATGCTGCCTAGAACACCTTCTACCTCGAACTGAACACACTGCTGTGCACCGTTTCCAGTTCAGATATCTTTGTTGCTGCAGATGATATGAATGCTCAACTAGGTCGACTGAGCTCCTCAGAAACTGAGCTAGGTGTTTGCGGTCAACTCTGAACGCCCGGACAATGGCGGGCATTTGTTGCAACTGTCTTTTAACAGCGGCGAAGTTCCACTTAGTCTCTCCTTATGGTTGGCAAATGATAGACTCAAATGAATCGCATTCGCACAATTTTCCGATGGCGCTGTTTAATCTAAGACCTTCTGGCGAGCCGAACAACCTCCTCGTAGTGCCAGCTGGGTAGTTCGGGATTTTCCCGTTCCAGCAAATGGTTCGGCGGCAGTGTTCCAGGAGGTGGTAGGTTTTCGCCTGGCAAGCGTCCTCCCTATAAAAAGCCACAGATGTCCGTTTAACAACACTGTGACGTGGCGGACGTGACTCGCCAATAAATAAAGTCACTGTCCCTTGCTTCATCCTGGCGAAGCATTGTATTCCAGCAAGCTTATGCTGTAATTTTGGGAGCATTGGGCCCCTGTTTGACAAAGGAACGAACGAAAGGCGTATGAACTGAGCAATTAGTCACCGGCTCCCAATGGGCGCGATTCCCTGAATTCGCTCCGCTGCCTTGCGGGCAGGTTATTCATCCAAAGGGGTGGTGTTCCCTAAGTTAAGACCCTACTTCGGCTTGGGCCACCGGGTAGTATCTCGCCCTCTGACGAACCCATGGATTTTGATGTATTGTGTTGTGTTTTCTTTTACTATTTCTGTACCTTGTTTTGAGTTCCATGGTTTCCGATGGCTCAATGTCTATTCATAGACTGTTGCAATATATATATATATATATATATATATGTATATATATATATATACTTCTTGTGAAACGCGTGTGTAGATTCTGATCACTGTTTTGTTCGGCGGCCTTTCTATGTGCATTCCACCGGATAAGGTATCAAAAATTTCCTTCGACTGGATACTGAGAAGTTATCTCAATCCTCTGTGAAGTGAAACGATATACTGTTATTCCTACAAGGTTCTCATCATTCCGCTCCAAAACTAGCGAACTCTAGTGCAATTGTATCTCGGCCGCCATGCGCAACGTTGGGATCTCTGCTTGCGGCACTCTCAGTCGTCATCGCACCAGTCACTGGATGCCGAGATTTCTGTGAACCTGTCTAATCCAGAAGAAAGCTCCCAGTTGGTTCTGAGCACAATGCGACAAGACGGAAGAACAGGCGCGAGCTCAATAGGAGCCTGCGCACTGACAAAGTAACCTGATAGACTATTAGTGCTGAGGAAATGTAGCCTGCAGGAGCTGCGGGCAATTATCACAAACTCTCCCAACGAATCCATTGGTCACAGGAGGTTATGCGTCGACAATCAAGGACAGCACTGGTGCACCGACTCGCAATAAGGACCGCCGGCTGGCTCGTTGGGCGGAAACCTTTCGAAAGCAGTTTAGTTGGTCCCTACCTCCCGGGCATCATCTTACTCAGATGGGACAGGCCGAGGTATGGTCAGTTAGTTTAAAAGCTCTAACGAAGACTGAATTCCTTAACGCGGTCACAGCTGCTAGTCCGGATTCCTTTGAACCCGCGCTATTTAAGGATTTTGGTGGGGTCCTTTGTGTGGCATCCTCACGGCCAATGTACTGAGCTTATCCTATTTGTTGCCTGCGTCTGCTGTCCTGTGTCAGTAAACCATTCACCCACTCATCGATTGGCCTAATTTAGAATCCTGGGTCGATACGTTGCATAACATGCTGGTTAGAATGCAGTTTGCCTGACGGGTTTTTCTTTAGGATACTTCGGCTACGAGCCAGCCGCTGAGCGTTAGTTCCGCAATCGCTAAACTGTAACACTCTGCAAAGCGCTAATCTCCGAACAGGTCTGGAAGGAAGAGACCATTCCAGACAACTGAAATGCATTGATTACGGTGGCAATCTACAATAAGAGCAGTCACACCAACTGTGCTAACCACAGGGTATTAGCCTGACGCTATTAGTGACAAAGCCACTGACCTCAGTTCTCGTCCGTCTACTTACTGCGGAACGGTAATTCCGGATAAGGGAAGAGCGAGCAGGTTGCCATCCTGGACGTGGCTGTATAAACCACATATTCGCTCTGCGGCAGGTGTTATAGCAGCATCACACGTATCGCAGACCGACAGTAGCTGTGTTCCTCAACTTCAAGAGTGCTTTTGACTCGGTTGTTTGACCCATTATCTTGGAAATACTTGCGCGGAAAGGTGTTCGCATGAAATATGTGTACGTTTTACCTGCCCTATACTCGAACACCACAGGCCGCGTGGGGTGTCATATCTTTCCGACAACAAATGTCGTACGACAGGGTTACCAAGATTTCCCGAATTTCGTTCACCTTCGTCTTGGACTCCAACATGAAGCGTTCCCTTCCGGCATCTCGCATTGTAGACATTAAAATACGATCTACTGTTATAATTGGTTGCTCTATATTGTGCGGACAATATTGTCTTGCTGTTTAATGGTCACGAAGTGGCTCTGTCAACCTTGAATATTCTGCCCATAATGGTCCCTTTATTTAGTATACGCTTCGTAAATTGTTTTTGCATGACCATCATCCGTCTGACTACCCTCTGCCTCTTGGCGGTGAGGAACTGGAAGTAGTTGATCAATTCACATGGTTTGTTAGCTGCATCAGCAGTGATGGATGTTTTGCTGCTGATGTGAGCGGATATGGATATATAAATGTCCCACGTCACAGCTCTTCCTGTTTTCCATCGTCCCATTCCTGCATTGCCAGGATCTGCTTGTATCGCTACAAAACCTTTGAACGGAAAGCATCCGCCGATTTTATTTCACAGTTTACCGTACGACACACCTCAACCACTACGTACGCTACCACCCCAACCCTATATATTAAATACATCACCGACAATTCCATCACCTTCGACTGTCACTGCCACTTCTCTCTCAACATCACTGTGCTCCCGGATACCGATACAACCAAACCACTTTTTGTCAGTGACTGTCGTCGCTTTCTATTGCCTCCATTCCAATCACGTCCTCTTTGCGTTTCTGTACATTTTCTCCGCGCTCCTTTCGAGCCTGAATAGGCATTTGAAAGCTCATTGTCCCAATCTTTCTGTTTTTCTATTCACAACGTTCGGATACAATGATCCAAGTTTACGTGTCGGTGGAGTTTTCCTTCCCTACGTAGCCTTACTCAACCCCGTTGCCTCCTTCATACCGTCCAGCACGATGCAAATTCTTTAGCTCGATTTTCACTTTATTCACGTCATTGGTCTTCCTTGGAAGACGCTGCATTATTGGCTAATGCAAGCACCCTGATACATTCCGCTTCTTTTTTCCAGAATCTGAGAGCTCAATCATTGTACTCTTAAGTAACTGGGAAATCACATAGAACGTTGGTACTACTCCATTGCCAGTCAATTTCCTCTGCCGCCGCCGTTGGGCGATATCCTGCAACAATCGCCATCTCTCATTGTGTCCAATTTAACTTTCCTCGGTTGCGCAAGGAGTCCGTGGACAACTCCTTCACCGACACTTCTACTTTCCACGCTGTCTAATTTTACTCATTTAGATGAGGTGGTCAACTCTCCTCCTTCAACTGCTAGCTCTCACGAGCATTCTAATGTTTCGCTAGCGTTCCGGTAGTCAGGTTTGGCGTCTGCTTACCAGCTTTTTACCTAGCCTACAAGTATAACACTAACGACGCTATTGACGGCTTTTATTTTTGGAGTTTGCTACCGATCGTTGATGCTACTCCTGTTACAGCCGCAACGGAGGATTCCATACTTTTTCTGCATTTATTTACGGATTCGCGTAATCTCTTACTCCCCTAGACGCTCGTTCCTCGTCTTTGCCAGATATGTTGGAACGCTCTCCGGAGGGAAGATCTAGCACACTGTCCAGCTCTTTGGCTTTATCCTTTTTTCGCATACTTGATGGTATTCAAAACGTTCTGCTCCTAAAGCCGCATTGAATAGCCGCCAACATCACCGATTGCAGTTTGGAAACATGCGTTTACACAACTTTCGTCGAAGTGATGCCGCCGCAGTTGTTTTGGATAGAAGATGGCAAGCTATCTATATGTTGGAGTGCGAGCGGATTTCTGGGTTTAATGATTTATTCTCGGACCTTCTTCCTCAACCTGCACCGGACACCCGTGAGCTTCCTCCGCTGCGGGATCCTAATCTGGAGTTGTTACAATCGGCGTCCGCTGATGAAATACCTTTGGCTCTTCGGCTTATGGAAGGAGCTGCACCCTGTGTCGATCGCATAACTCTGAAAGACGTAGCCGGATGAACCCTATTTTCCTCACTTCCCTTTCAAACTGTCTTCTTGCAACTTCCCGTACCGACTGCACATGAATGTTGCTTGCATTACCTTCGTTCCCAAGATTTCCAAACCTCCATGCTTATGCTTTCGCTGTTTCCACTTTCAGCAAGACCAGCATTCATCCACGGTGGGTTGTCCGACAAGGGGACCCGATTTCCCCGTTGCTTTTCAACGTGACTTTGGACGAATCCTTTCATAAGCCGGCATCATCCCAGTGCTCATGCCTTGCTGGCTCTATAGGTATCAGTAGTACACCTGTATGTAGTACCGACGCTTTGCTGCGGCGCAACCGCCACTAGTCGCGCGTGGGCTAAGGATACTGCGATGGTCGCCCGGTCTCCTACGCAGGCTCGAACCTGCGACTACAAATTACAAGGCAAGCTTGTGATCCTTATAGCTACGGGCCGGCTGACTTTATAAGCCACGTGATTTATGCTGACGATGTGACAACCTTTGCCCGTAACCGGGCAACCTTGACGGATCGCTCCAACATGCTTCATGAAGACTTTCTTCTTATTGCTCTATCGAATTAATAACTGAAGTCAACTACTCTTAATACTTTCGTAGATCGTGCATGAGTAACTACTGTCCTGAACACCTCACCAACCTCGTGTTCCTCGATCACCAAATCATCGCTTCAATTGGATGAATCGTTCATATCTCAGCCTTCCGTTCAACTGGAAAGGCAAATTACCACCTGTATCCATAGAACAAATACGCTCTTCGCTTTAAGAGACTAGGCGAGCTCCCCTGAAGACATATAAGCGATTAGAAATACTTCGCGGCTTCTAACCACGCCGTCACGTATCCTTCATCCACCAAATGCTCCGTTTTCTAATACACACTAAAGATGGCTAAAAATTCTTCCTGTCAGCTCGATTTTAAATCCTTGTTAGATGTTTCCACTAGGGGGTCGTGTTCTGGCCGACACGTGCAGTCAGCAGCCACAAAAACCCTCATCAGAAAGTGATTCAGTGAAAGAAATTCGGACTGGGTGTTTGTTGGTCCGTACCTGATCAAACTACGGAATTTCAGGAGGAACGCGTACACGTGAAGTCACGCCCTTAATGGTCATCAAACTGGACCGGATTATGAGCGATTTGCAATCACTCAAATGTGAAGATCTAATGTTACATGTGAACCAATACGTAGCTAGTGCACTAGCGCCTTCCAATATGTTGTTTTTTATACCAATGCCTGTGTCCCAATATTATGAGCTGTGCGCACTGGAACGCCAAGACAGATCGTCAGAGGCAAAATGTGATACGATGAAAGCTCAGCGTAGCTCAGAGCCTCTACACGCACGGAATAATGCAAAACTTACTCTTCATTCATGTACGTGGCAATCCAGTTTTTGATCATTGTCCGGATCTCTGCAATCGGCAAGACGGTGAATAAATTTCCTAAAAGTAATTGACTGGTTTCCGGAATTCCTTCGGTATCTCATCGGAGATAAATAGGATCTTCGTCTGTTGCTCTGAACCAAGATAGTACCAACTCCTGGGCAGCCTGTTTGACTTCCATTGAGGAGAGGGGCACTTGTTGGAGAGGGGAACAGCACGGGGAGCAGAAAATAAATTTAAAATTCTGTGTAAGCAACTGTGAGTTTTTGAAGCGTGTGAACAACCATCTCAACGCACAGATAGTCACGATAAAGTGCTTCAGCTGACGCAGTTAGGCCAGATAGCGTTTCTAGGCCAGTATGAGAACACAGCGGATGAGAGTAAAAAATAAGGAACTAAATAGCAAGAGATTAGCATTGAGACCCCGAGGTAGCAACTAGGTGTTTGGTGCGACGAAACCGACCGTAAGATGACACGTGAAAAGCTCCAAACCGGAAATACTGACTGTCTCGTAAATGCAAGCCAAACAGACGGTTGGACACCAAACATAAGATCGCTAGATTTCTGCATGGTCATAAGGAGTGGAAACATCACTAATCGAATCATTCAGCTAGGATATTAGGAAGTGTGGAGAGGCATTAGCGGTGATAGATAACTGCAAAGAGTGAGGGTATGCGGGTGTTCTCCGAGCTGGCTGATTTGGCTGCAAACGTTTCATCGTCAGACTAGACGACATCATCAGTGCGATTTATGCGGGCCACTTACAGATCCAAGTGATTATTGATCACTTGATCCGAACATCAAGAGTCGATTGGACCACGTGGACTGACCGTGTAGTCAGCTCTCTCGTACTGTTGGCTAGAGTCCGCCTCAATGAGGTTCCTTCATCCAGTTGACCTGGGGCGGACTATTCTTTTGACCCTCATTTTAACATAGGCAGTGTTTAGACTTATAGCCCTGTTGATGAAGTTCTCTCCCGAGTACCAAGCCTTGGTGTACTCGCGTGCTTTTCGACCTATTCTCTGCTATGATCCTGACATTCTCCAAATCGTATTGAAGATACTCGGTTTCCATATGTACCGACATTAGGGAGTTCTGGTCATGTCGGCGGATGGCTAGGCTATGCTCATGTAGCCTAGTGCCGAGCTTTCTTCCTGTCTTGTCCACATAGTATTTGTTACAATTTTAGCAGTGGATTTTGTAAATCACACCACTTGTTTCTTCTATGCCAAGCCGGTCCTTGCCATTGAAGAGGTTGTCTCTGATGGTTTCTGTTGGCTTGTGAGCAACTCTGATTCCGAAAGGTCGTAGCAGTCTCGCCGCCATCTCAGAGATGCCGTTGATGTATGGTAGAGTGATTGTCCTTTTATCCGTTTCTGATTTTAGTTCTTGTGTCGGTCGTTTTATTGGTGTTAAACAACGTAGAATGAAATTTCTAGGATAACCATTCCGTACAAACATTTCGAACAGATGATCTTCCTCTGCTTTTCTCAGCTGTGAGGTGCTGTAATGGGTCTGTGCTCTTTGGCACCACGACGAGGTTGTTCGGCTAACCTGTAATGAAGAAAAGGGGCCTTCTTCCTCGGGTGCACCAGTTGTTGTCCCAATTTTTAAGAATGGTTATCCAACTTCATGCACCAATCACCGTGGGATTAGTCTCATCTCAGATACTTCTAAGCTATGGGCATCTACTCCGTAGACTATCCCCGATTCGTGAAATCGTAGTACTGGAAATAAAAAGCTGGCTTCCTTCCTGGCCGTGGGTGTGTGGATCAAATCTTCACGCTCCGCCAAATACTCGAAGACGGCCATATCTACCAGAGGCCTACCACCGTTGCGTTCTTATACATCCGTGCTGCACTCATCTCAGTTGATCGACCTGCGCTATGTCGTTACTTGCTAAATTACGGGGTCCGAGAAAAGTACACTGCCATCCTAATCGCACTCTACCACATCTCTTGCAGGGCGACAGTCTATGGCAATCTTTCGTCGTCAATAGCGGAGTGCGACAGGCCTGCCCTATGTCTCCTTTCCTCTTCAATTTTGCAACTGAAGACATCCTGTCGGGAGTTCTGAAAGGTTACCAACATTTTTGTCTGCAGTTTACTAGCGTGCCAGCGACAGACCGACTTAGATTATGCTGATGACATCGCCTTACTTGGTGATGACTCACAGAGCATGCAAACCATTCTAAACCGTTTGACGATTGAGGCATCTGGTTACGGATTGCGCTTCGCTCCGTCGAAGTGTAAAGCGCTGATCCAGGATTGACACTCGCCCGTTCCCTGCTCAGTCTTGGAGGTACACAGTTTGAACAAGTGGATAGTTTTATCTACCTGGGCAGCTGCGTGTCTATTTGTGGCATTCCTGAGAGAGAAATTTCCCTCTGCATCGCCAAAGCTCGGTCGGCGTTTGTCAGCATGATGTCTCCCTGTTGGTAAAGAATCGCATCTACAGTGCCACCGTTTGGGCGGGGTTGCTATATTGATGCGAGTCCTGGCCTGTTCGCGTAGATAACATGCACCGGCTCTCAGCCTTCGATGATGGGTAGTGGAGGAGAATTGCTCTTGTGCGTTGGCAGCAACGTATCTGCAGCGGTATAGTCAGACGTTGTGTCTTATGGAATGCGAGTATTCCTTTAACAAACTGGTTTTCTGCGTCAGTTAAGATGACTCGGTTACGTCCTATGTATGTCAGCTGATCGTTTGTCCTATTTGGCTCTTTTCGCTCATGATGGGCTTGGCTGTAAGCTACCACGTGGCGGTCAGCCGTCCACTTGGCGACAACGTATGGAATCGTTGACTTCACCTCTTGCTGCCATTGGATCCACACGCCTGCCTGGTTGGGGACCAAAGGACGAAGAGTGCCGATGGCTGGAAACAAGTCAGTATATGGCGCGCATTCGAAACCGGTTGAAGATCCAGATGCTTAATGCTTAAGAATTGAAACTTAAAAAATGACCTGTGACAAACATAACCAAAACGTTCCGTACTTTTTGCGGCACAGTACCTGAAGCTTCTTGCTCACCTTCAACTAATGTGCCATGATGATGATGTGCTGATAAAACCTGTATTCTCCCTGTTGTTGCGATAGTTTCACTATATGTCTGTTCGTTAG